CATCAATTACTAGGCCTACATTCTTTTTTTCAGAAATGGAAGTAACTTAAAATGTTATTGTGTGTTTGTAATTTTAATATTTTTATCTATAGGCCTATAGAGCAAAACTACAGAGCTTCCAGTAGGTTATTTTACGGAGCTGTAAACACGGGAATCTCTGACCGCATGCAATCTTTGACGAACACCCAATTCATATATCAAACTAGGCTATATGTTATTAAATTGTACATAGGCTATACATCAGATTATTTTATTTACAAGTTTCATGTTTGTGTTTATCCCGTTTTTTCCCTCGTTGCATCTGAAAATTACTTTCAGAAACATTTTATTTTTCAAAGCAGCGAACAGTTCCTAAAAGAACCATTTTTCCAAATGTGAAGAACATTTTAATAATCTAAAGAACCGGAAAGAATTCCATGGATCTTTAAACGGGTCATGAACTGACTTTGTTTTTTTTTATTTTGTACTCCGAGGTCCACGTATAATGTTACCAAGATTTTTACATCAAAAAACAGCATAATTTAGAATATGCTATTTTCTGTCCTGTTTCTGACCCCCTCATCAGAACGCTCTGTTTGAAGGGGTGTGGCGGATTGTAGACTCTGAAGTAAACGCCCACTGCTGTGATTGGCTAACAGTTGTGTATGTTTGACAGCCTACATCCTTCACAGATGGACGCATAAATACTCCGTACATATCAAACGATCTGTTTAACAGACAAAGCAATGGTGATCATGTAATGAAAACAGTTACTCACACTTGTCTAGTGTGTTGTCATCACTGTCGGATCCAATATAGCCGTCACAGCATCGTCTTTTAGTTTCGATATTTCTGAAAATCCCGCGCCGAATTGTGCCTTGTTTTTAAATGAATCTGCAGTAAAATGAAGTGAACAAAGGTCCAAGTTCTTACTGACGCGGTCTGGAACTTAAAATAAAGTTTATTCACTCTTTCCTAATGTTAGGATCAGAAGGAAAGCAGTGCAAATACTGCAGATTCTTCTTGTCTTCAGAGCATCTTTATCGTTTGGTTTCTGCGTAGGCCTGCGTTCGCCTCTCTCGTGAACACTACATGTGTGAATCGGTGGGCGGGGCTAAACAAACAGTGATGTTGATCATCTTCTGCGGAGGCGGAGCTTGTCCACACTATTACATCATAGAGTAGAAGATTCCACAAGCTGTCGTTTTGGCAGACTGCCTTCAATATAAACTGTTCTTAGACTAACGACAAAGTTTTGAGTTCTCAAGCTTGCAGGATATTTTTGTAACACAATGACCTCTTATATGTCAAAAGATCAAGGGAATTTTGGTTCCTCAGTTCATGACCCCTTTAAGGTTCATGGAATCATGAAAACCGATAAAGAACCTTTACTTTTAGTATTGTAGATAAAAAAGGTCTTGTCTTCGATGCTGAATTAATTCTCATTGACAACATTAGATGTCAGACTGATATCTGACAAAACTGACGCTTTAAAGGGGTCATATGATGCTGCTAAAAAAAACATTATTTTGTGTATTTAATGTAAAGAAATGTTTGTGGTTTAAGGTTCAAAAAACATTATTTTCCACATACTGTACATTATTGTTTCTCCTCTATGGCCCGCCTTTCTGAAACACATTGATTTTTACAAAGCTCATTTTACAAGCTGAAAAAGCGAGGTGTGCTGTGATTGGCCAGCTATCCAGTGCGTTGTGATTGGCCAAATACCTCAAGCGTGAGACGGAAATGTTACGCCCCTCACCATACTGTGATGCCCTGTGTCCTGGAGCGATGAGACAAAAACATGAAAACCCATTATAAATCCAGTGGGGACATAATAACGGATTATAATGACTTATACTGTGTTTTTACGTGTTGTTGCATTGCGCCGCGTAAACATAAAACCATGTCTGCATTTGTGATCGGAGAAATGACAAACAACAAGCGCTACTCTACACTGCTCAAAAAACATAAAAACATACTTACAGTCTGTTTGTCAGAACAGCCGGCATTGTAGTCTACTCTCCCAGGATCAGTAAACAGTCCTCCATAAAATGCACTGCACACATCTGAATATTTGGGTTGAAGTGTTCTGGAACAGTGTTGTAAACACAACTTAACCACTGATTTCTAGTCGTGTCCTCTTTTGGAAGACCAAACAAAGTAGTTTCGCTTTCACAATGAAACACACAGTGCCTTCACGACATGGCGGCAGCAGCAACAATACTACAGCGAGAATAAAAGTTACGCCTTCTTTCTTTGCGTGTACATTTGGGCGGCGTTATGCAAATCTTCCCACAGAGTGATGTAGACTGGGGGGCTTGTTAGAACGAGCCGTTTTAGGGGGGCGTGGCAGAGTCTTAACTTTGATAAAGAATATCTCTTTGGGTTTGAGACTTTAGTCTTTGCAACTTCAGGGATCTTATCTATTCACGAACTGCTTGTAACACTCCAAAGAGAAAGAAAAACTTGAAATCGCATCATATGACCCCTTTAATAATCCAAGTGACAGTACGACATCAACAGATAGTCTCCTACAACAACGTCAAGCATTTTGCTTTGTTCATGTTCATCTCTTCGCAAGCGAAGTCTCGTTAATGTTTTACTAGTTCACACAGCTCTGTCTGTATGAAGGCCTCAATAGTGTTGTTCAGCCGAGGGTAATTTGAGGTGTTCGGGTTGAACAGGTGCTGCAGAAGTCAAGCTAATGTACCTTGATTTGAGTAGAGCTTTTCAGTGGAGGTCAGAAAGACATATAACTGCATAAATGCATTTCTACTCAAAATAGCTCATGGACAGAACATTGCTGAGCATTCTGGGAAAAGCTTTTACTAGTTGATTCCACATGGTTTTTCATCATAAAGCTAACATGTCAGTGCCCAAACACTCATGAACAAAATATATAACACACTACCAACATTGACTGATTTTGCTTCGCATGAGCATTTTGATTTAAATCTTCTTTAATGCTTCAGATTAATGCAGACAAATAAAAAATTGTGCTTACTGGTCAGGTTTATCTTTAGTTTTTTATTAAAATTTTGGCTAGCTAGTAAAGCCAGAAAAAAAACAAAACATGGAAACTTCAGTTTATGGCATTAATATTGTGTGAGAAATAAAATATAATATTAAATGTGGGCTGTAAATTATGCTGAAGCCTGCTAGTGGACATATATTTGATTTTGACAGGTTTTGGTTCTCTTTCTATAGTGGGACTTTTATTTACTGAAATGGAAAACTTATTTTTAATACAATGTGCATAAGCGATCACAATCCATGAGACACCAGGTGCAAAAAAATTTTTCTTTTTCGTTTTTCGTAATCGTTTTTACATTAATAAAATGAATAAAAACAACTACATAAAATGCATTTTTTGATGGCTTTAATATTTAGTGTGGGAAATAAAATGTAATAAGCATGTGTCCAGACCCTTTAATAAAGGATGTTCTCCAAATTATAATTTGTTTTAAAATCTTAACTAGCTTGTCCAAATTACAATGCAAAGTGATTAATAATAAAGCAATATGTTTTCCAGTGTTTTTTTTATTTATTTCCCATAAATGGACCATGACAGAAATGAATTAATTTTAATACAGAATGCAGTAACAGATCACAACTCATGAAGCACCAATTGCAGAAAAAATTATATATATACACATTTCAAATATATCTGCCCATCTCAAACTTACGTCTTTTAATATTTTTCTCCACTTCACATAAACTTTAGCATACGCTCACACCCAGATGACCTCCGTAGTTTCAGATTTCTTTTAAAAGTAGCTGTGCAAAAATAACTATATAAAATATATTGCTTTGACAGATACCAAGCAGGAGGCGCCGTAAATAAATTACTCTAGACAGGAATAACAAGCAGGAAAGAATAGACTTTTCAACATCGTAGGGCAAATTCAGATGTAATGTACAAACAGACCAGGTACAAGTTTAATAACCGCAAACATCACGTCAATCAAAAATGCACGAAAAACACAAAATACACTTTTGTTTTGTAAATAAATGGTCAAAATACACCATCTTCACATAAAAGGTGAAAAATACACATTACAGTAATATTTACAGTACATGGTCGAGGGTCTGATCGCTGTCATAATGCCAGGCAACATTAACCCCTTGTGCACAGGTTCAGTTCTCAATGGGATCCTCAGTGCTGTGTCTGTGAATCAGTGTGATGCAGTGATCGAGCTTCAGGGGTTTATGGTCCCTTTTGAAGGGCTTAAAAAGGCTGCTGGAGTTGTCCATGTTCACAGGGCTTAAAGAAAACACGAGTAGAAACAGACCCATAAATCAGTTCTAACGTAACCAACGAGCACTGTCTGAACTTCAGAATATAAATGTCATGTTTTCATATATTTCTGAGTGAATACTTTAAATCTTGTTATATAACTATATATGGCACTATTCATGATCTTTAAAACCTTGAAATGGCTTGAAATTTTGTAGGCTAATAAATTGTGCCTACATATGAATTTCTTTATAAAACAGATTGACACTGTATTATACTACAATATGGAAAATGGAGCATAGGTATGTGTCCAAACCTTTTGACTGTATATATATTGTGTATATTTATTCTTTATGATATACATACAATCAAAGGTTTGGAGTGGGGAAGTTTTTTAAAAATGTTTTTGAAAGAAGTGTCTCCAAAGCTGCATGCATTTGATCAAAAATATGGTAAACAATTGTGAAACTAAAATGTTTTCTATGTGAATATATTGTAAAATGTCATTTATTCCTGTAATGCAAAGCTAAGTTTTCAGCATCATTACTCCAGTCTTCACTGTCACATGATCCTTCAGAAATTATGCTGATTTGCTGCTCAAGAAACATTTCTGATTATCAGTGTTGAAATATTTTTTTGTTTTCAGGATCCTATGATGAATAGTAAAGACATTTATAATGTTATAAAGGATTTCTATTTCAAATAAATGCTTTGTCACTTTTGATCAGTTTAATGCATCCTTTCTGAATAGAAGTATTAATTTCTTAAACGTTTTGCATGGACAGTAGTGTGTATATGTGTATATATATATATATGGCTGGAATCATCTTCAGATCGAATCCCTTCATATGAAGTGTGTTTTCTAGGGTTGTTGCATATGAACATCCTAAACATTCGACTCAATAAAAGATCTCTTTGGTCTCATTGCCGCTACATGAATGGTGGGGTTTTCTTGAGTTAAGCCGGGCTGTTTGCTCATGCTGTCTGTGAATGAATGTGCCATGGCCAGAACCGGTTTGCTTTCTTTATGGCAGAACTCTTTAGCATGCAGACTCCCGTTGTGCAGTCCGCCCATGGCGGGACACTTGAGCGGCTCGTAATAAGCTCCAGACGGTTTTCCGTACACAATCTCACCCGTCAGACCTGCAGAAACGACGAGTCCTTCAGTGGAGTGACTCTGCCAACCTCGAGACACCACCGGCTGCTGCGGCTGCTGAAATCGAACTGTTTTGTCCATGATTCCCATGAACGGACGGGGTTTGTACTCCACAGAGCCGGTCTGGCTGATCTTAGGCTTGTCCGATGCGGTTTTGGTGCGCACGTCTGGGCCTTGCCCTTTCCCGCTGTCTGATAAACTGCTGCTGGAGGCCAGGCTGCTGGTGGAGCTGGAAACCCTCATGCTGGCGTCCTTTCGCAGCTCTCGACTTTGAGCTCCAGAAGTCACAGAAAGAACCGTCCCTTCTAGAGTTTTAGACGAGTGCATTTGGACATCTGCATCGTCGTTTGTGGGCAGTAACGGGCTGATATCAATGCCTGGTCCAGCCTTTAGGACGCTGGATATGTGCCGGCTGGGAATCGGGCTGGACGGAGCATATTGCGCCTGGCTCTTTGTGTTGGTCGGCCGTGTAATTAATGAACTCTTCAGCTGTTGTTCATTGTGTCATCAATCAGAGGTGCAGACTGGAAATTGGCTCTGTATTGTGTCGGGAGACCTTTTGGAGCCGGGCTATTACTTCTGAAAAGACCTTCAAATCAATTCAGGCCCTCTGAGTAATTTGCATCTTTCTCGTCTTGCAGTGTCTGACATCTTGAGCAGCGAAAAACCACAATCTGATTGATCCAGACCAGCAGAACCAGCACACCTCGGCACAAACTCTTGGCATGAAGCGTAATAATAATAATTGATAATTATTAGAGAATTTGCAATTTTTCAAGAATTTCTATAGTGGAGTTGTTGATCATTTATATTAGGGATCAAATAACTAATCACAAAAAGCACACGGGAAGAGTATATTTTTGTAAAATAATATTTTATTAATAAATTTACATATACAATATAATTTCCTATTAAATATTGGTATTTTCCTCTTTTTATACATTTCCAGTCTGCAATGATATTATTTTTGACTAAATCTGAAATAAAATATAAATACTAGGGATGCTCCGATCGATCGGCCGGAGATCAGTATCGGCCGATAATCACATTTTATGACTCGATCGGTACTCGCTGCACTTGACCGATCTCACGAACCGATCGCAATTTGATGACGTCAACACGTGACGACGTACATGATGCAGGGGGACATAAATGATTTGGCACCACAGTCATGTCATAGCTGGTGTAGAAATGCTATGACGTTTCGAGAAACAATTAAAAATTAGCTATTTGTCGTGTATGTTTTGCATGATATATGATATGATGAATAGATGGTTCATTTTTAACAGCAGATTCAGTGACGTTAGAGATGATCTGCACCTCACTGCACGCGTCTGTGGCGCGTTACGGCTCCACGGCTACCGGAGCTGATCGCGGCCGCTCTAATCAGTGCTTGTGTTTATACCGACCAGCCGCGGCACGTTTCTGTGACGTCAACACGTGACGACGTACATGATGCGTGAGGACATTAAAGATTTGGCGCCACAGTCATATCATCGCCGGTGTGGAAATGACGTTTCGAGAAACAATGAAAAAATCGCTATTTGCCGTGTATGTTTTGCATGATGATATGATGAATGGATGGTTCATTTTTAACAGCAGATTCAGTGACGTTAGAGCTGATCTGCGCCTCACTGCACACATCTGCAGCGCGTTACGGCTCCACGGCCACCGGAGCTGATCGTAGTCAATGCTTGTGCTTCTACCAGCCAGCCGCGGCACGTTTCTGAAGCGGCTCTCCGCCTGCTTGGCTAAAAATAGTCTTTTGTGAGTTGTCACAGCGTGGAGGACAGAACAAAACCTCGTCGGAGCCGTAAGGGATAACGGTAATATAACATGCTGATCGTGGGCTGCTCTTAAATGAACATTTATTTATAAAACAAAATATCTTCTTTGGCCATATTAGCCTACTCAATAGCATTAACACAGGCTTTACTCCTTTCCAACTTTATCTGGAATGTCACCGTTTCTGTCAGTGCAACTTCCCTACCAGGCGAATGAACACACATGAAATCGTCTGCCTCATGAAAAAAATTTAGTTAATATTTGCATAATTTGATTTATTTTATCCACTCGCAAATAATCAGAATACATTATTACCTGACCCGCGGATTATCCGCAGCTCCCGTGGATATAGGAAAAGGAAAATATGTTTGCTGCGTAAATCAGACGGACTTAGTGAAAATGTAAATTCATTCTCTGCCAGCAGGAGGTGCTTTAAAGCGGGAGAAACAGAGATTTCCCCAGTAACAGCTGTACACAAAGCAGCGCTGAGCTCACAAACGCTGCTTTATCAGGCATATAACATGCGAGATGAAATGAAAATGACATTGAAAATGTTCTAAAGATAGTCTTCCTTCAGAAATACAGTGATATAAAATCACCCGCGCCTCATTTTGATTTTTAAACGTGCAGTACATGCTCATGTTTATTCAACGAAGCCTTTTGAAATATCGGTCAGTTTTGATATTGTGGCGAGCATCACAAATAAATAAATGTATTGGAAACGCATCCCACAGCACAACCACCTGAGCCCAACTTCAGTCTACTCATCACCTTAACTTTGACTGCGTTTGTAGCCGGCGCCAGACTGATAAACACACACAGACCGGAAGTTAACTTCGGGCCAGGCGCGTGCGCCCAATGAAACCATCTATATAAAGCTTGAAGCATCAAAATCGGCATCGGCCGATCACCATGACAAGAAATTGGTACTCCGTATCGGCTGCAAAAATCCTGATCGGAGCATCCCTAATAAATACTTGATAATATATATTAGGGCTGTGCAAAAAATCTAATTTTTTAATGCGCATCTCATCAGTAAAGCCGCTTCTGGTGATTAGTAGTAAATCTCCAGCACGTGCGTTCAGATGGAGCGGCATTTACTACAGGCGATTCATTGCCGATTATGAACGTGTTTTTGTGTAGCTTGTCAGTGATCTACGACTCTATGTAGTAAATGCCGCTCCATCTGAAAGCACGTGCTGGAGATTTACTACTAATCACAGGAGCGGCTTTACTGACGAGATTCGCATGAAAATCGCTTTCGATTTTTTGCAGAGCCCTAATATATATATAGGGATTATATATAGGGATGTTACGAATTTATATGGTTGACCATAATTTAATTAGGGATCAATTAACTGTTAGCGTCAATATCACAAAAAACATATTGGCAAAAGTCCAAATAACAAATGCAATTTAATTTTATAAATACATTTTTAATTTGTAAATAAAATTCTGGAATTTCAGCCTGCACTGTTGTTGTTGACAAACTATTAAAACAATTTTAATCATTTTAAATAAATGTGAAATAAAATATTTATATTACATGAAGAAACGTAAAATTAAAAACTTAAAAAAAAAAAAAAAAAAACTTTACCATGTGGGTTGTAAAATATTTTCTGATGACTGATGTTTGAAAACCTTAATGTCAGCATTAATAGCTGAATTAAAAATCTGAATGTTATTTATGTCTAGCTCCTGTTGAATTCATATGAAAATGTGTCTATAGCATCTAGATATTCTCTAAATCCAATTGTTAGAGCATCTCTTAAAGGGGTCATATGATGTTGCTAAAAATAACATTATTTTGTGTATTTGGTGTAATTAAATGTGTTTCAAAGTAAAAAAAACATTATTTTCCACATACTGTACATTATTGTTTCTCCTCTATGCCCCGCCTTTCTGAAACGCGTCAATTTTTACAAAGCTCATCGGTCTGAAAAGCGAGATGTGCTGTGATTGGCCAGCTATCCAGTGTGTTGTGATTGGCCGAATTCCTCAAGCGTGTGACGGAAATGTTACGCCCCTCACCATACTGTTGATGCCGTGTTCCGACCGGAGCGACGAGACATGAACATTAAAACCCATTACAAACTAGGCATTCGTTGCATCCAGTGGGGACATTATAATCAGTAATTATGACTTATGTCTTTTTACGCGTTGCATTGCATCGTGCCACATAAACATAAAACCCTGTCTGCATTTGTGATCGGTGGCAAATAATAAAAGAAAACGTACTTGTGTGAGTCAGAACTGCCGGCATTTTAGTCTAACGGTACTCTCCCAGGATCAGTAAACAGTCCTCCATAAAATGTGCCGGTGATCCACAGCACTAAGTTGATGTATTCCCTCAGCGACCAGCACGGATCAGCTCTAGGCATGACGAAGCGGATATCGTCCTCTTTTGGAAGGCCAAACAAAGTAGTTTCGCTTTCACAACGAAAAACACAGTGGCCTAGCGTGAGCGAAAGCCCCAGCTTAGCGTGAGCTGAAGCTGGGCAAGAGTGAGCTGAGGCAGCGGGGTTGGCGAAGGAGCGGTGAAAGCCGATCTGGCGATCCACAGCACTAAGTTGATGTATTCCCTCAGCGACCAGCACGGATCAGCTCCAGGCATGACGAAGCCAAAGAGAAAGGAAAAAATGAAATCGCATCATATGACCCCTTTAAAATATGGAATCAGTTTAGACGAGCCTTTTCGCTTACTGATCTCTCAATGCAAGCTCCTATCATGAGAAATCATATGTTTCCTCCTTCGATTATAGATGCTGCTTTTAATTGCTGGGTAGAGAAAGGACTTGTCACACTGAAGAATCTATATAATGATTGTAGCTTTATGTCATTTTCTCAAATAAGAGCAAAATATAATATTCCACAAACACATTTCTTTAGATATTTACAGATTCACAGCTTTATGATATCTAACACTCTGGATTTTCCAGTTATACCTACAGAATCACTACTTGACACAATTCTAAAAATCAACCCACTCTCCAAAAATAATATAGGGTTGATATATTCTCTGATTTCTTCACAAAATCAAAGCAACAATGGGAAAGTGAACTTGATTTGCTTTTCCCAGAGGAAACATGGCAGGATATTATAAATAAGATTCATTCAACTTCAATTTGTCTACGACTTACAATTATTCAGTTTAAAGTGGTTCACCGCCTACACTGGACAAAAGCAAAACTAGCTACATTTTCACCAAATATAAATTCTTTGTGTGACCGGTGTAGAGTTGAGATAGCTAATCATACGCACATGTTTTGGTCATGTTCTAAGCTTGTTAATTTTTGGCAATTAATATTTAATTTTATTTCAGAAGTCCTGTATTTATCTATTGATCCTTCTCCTATTCTTGCAATATTTGGTTTAACTACAGAACTTTGTCTAGATAATAATACAAAAAACATGATTTCTTTTTCAACGTTAATAGCCAGACGTCTTATATTGCGTAAGTGGCAGGACAAATCTCCACCTACTTTTAGTCAATGGATTAGGGATCTTATGTACCACCTTGCATTAGAGAAGATTCGATACTCCATTAAAGGCTGCAGTCAAACTTTTTTCTCTATTTGGCAGCCAGTGCTGACATACATAGAGCAAATGGATCCAAATTTAATATTTTCTGCTTAATTTTGATGTCATTTTTTTCTCTTGTCATTCCCTCCCTTTTTTATTTTTAAATCTATTCTGGTTCAATGTACATATATATATACATATACACACGTTCATTCATATATGTTTATAAATAACAATAGGGTACAATGGTGCAGTGGGGAGGGGGGGGGGGGGGCCCTGTTGGAGCAAGACATCTTTTTTTCATCCTTTTTCTTTTGAAAATGTTGTTATATTATGTAAAATATTAATAAAAATAAAAATCTTTTTTCCCAAAGAAAATGTGTCTACAGGAACCAGCAGACTGCACAAAAGAGACATAAGTGAATGAGAGCAGGTGTCTGGTGAGGCATTTGTAATGATCTCTGGTGTCTTACGTTGGTTTTCCGGCGACAGCGGGAGAGATTGAGGTACAAAGACACACGCAGCTCCTTAAAGGCCTTGAGTTCATCACCGAATCCCTCTCTGGGAAACTTCCTCAATGCGTACTGATAGCGCTGAGCCGCTTCCTTCATCTTCCCCCTCTGAGAGAGAGAAACACAGCTCATCAATCACAGATCATCCTGACACATCGTCTGCTCTGATAACAATCACTCAGTATGTCATTATTTTCAATCCCGTTTCTCCTGGATTAAAGCTCAGCGCTTTGATAAGGCGTGTGGAGATAATCGTTCTCATTTTTATTTTAATAAGCGTTCAGACATTAATATCACACATCAAAACTCATCTCTGGAATACTTGATTATTATTAGTCATTCCATACACCCTATATATATATATATATATATATATATATAGGGTGTAATTAATTGTTATAATCAACATTTCTCTTGCTCCATCCACCCATTGGCTGGGTCTTGTGTGAGTAAATTATATTTATAATTATTATATATTATCTAGTATTGAATAAATTATAATTATAAACAACATTTCTCTATCTACCCTTTTAAATGTCTTGTTTTCAATAAATTATGTATAATTATTATATCTTTCATTGAATAAATTATATTCATACATGTATAATAATAAATTAAAGTAATTACATGTATAATTATATTAATTATGATATATACTTTTAATAATAATACAATTAAAAGATTTTATTAAATATTATAAAATTCTAAAATATTATTTATAATTATAATAAGCATTTATTTCACTCCATCCACGCTCTTGCATTTTTTCCCCCCACTGTTAATCCCATTTTTTATTTTAATAGGAATTCAGTCATTAATATCACATATCAAAATTTATCTCTGGAATACTGTTAAAGAATCTCAATCTTGGGCTTTCAAATATGTTTGTGTAATTAGGCTAAACTTCAAGCTGTCCTGACCTTATACAGCAGGTTGCCTTCCTCCATGAGCTTCTGCAGGAGGATGATGAGGATGTCGGGTTTGGAGGTCGCCATCGCCCAGGCTGCGTTACCTTGAGAGAGAGAGAGAGAGAGAGAGAGAGAGAGAGAGAGAGAGAGAGAGAGAGAGAGGTGGAGCGTTACATCAATCTGCTCCTGAAAACACAGCTGAGCAGAAGAATGGAATTGGCGTGAAAGAGTTACCTAAAGAGTGTACCTGTTCGATCATAAGGTGACGTTCTGTAGCCTGACGAGGGTTTTAGTGAAAGCAGTTAAAAGAGAGAAGAATGAGAAACAGAGCAGAAAGAGACATGCAAAGAGAAAATACAGCATCACTCGTCCACAGCAGCCACCAGATGCCACATGTGCGTCACTTTTACACCAACACAGAGCTGAAGAAAAGCATTTTCATCTTTTCATCAACTCTTAAGTCTCCTGCAGTGAACCCTGCTTGATATTGATGACCTAGCGTTGTCACGCTCACACTGTTTGTGTATGGGAAAATTAAAATAATTAAAAAAAATCAAAAAAATTGTTTTTTTTTCCCTGTATGTCATCAGAGCAGGGTTATTTTTGCATCAAGATAATATTTTAGTTTTTAATTTTAAATGGTAATTTTCCTTTTTTTTAGATTTGATAAATTTTTTTCAACACAAGAAGAAACTAACTGAAAATGAGAAATGTTGCAACTAGCTGAAATAAAATGTTACGTCAAAGAGCTTCAGCAGACTGGTGTAAATAAAGCTGTTGCACACAATTTTTTATTTTTATTTTTGCTATGCTGGAAACGACTTCAGCCACTTTCATTTTAGTTTTGATTAGTTGATTATGCATTGTAATTTCTATATGTGACGTGCAGTTTCTGTGTCATCAGCAAGGCCATTGAATGTGTAAATTATGACTTTTTTAATCACAAATCACCTTTTCATGTGTTTCATCAAAGTGTTGTTATGGCATAAAATGACTTTGGATGTTATAAGTTCTGAAAGTAAGATTCATATACAAAGACCATGATGCAGTATGATTGTTTTTGTGCAGTTAATCAGCTCAAGTCAGTGGAAACAGCTGGTTCTGAGAAAGGCTGAGCACCAGCAACACACACACACACACACACAGAGAGCAGGGTCTGTGATGTAAGAGCTTCAGGAGGAAAGATGTGATTGGCTAATGAATATCACATGCTCATGTTATTGATGACAAATGCTCTGTTTCAGTGAATTCATTCAAAACTTCATTCTTTTCACTGTATTTTACTTCTTGCATTAAAACATTTTGAAGCTACAGTAATTCAGTCAACATCTTCTCTGATTGAAAAAAAAACATCATACTTTTCATTTCACAGCAAATACACAAATATTGAAAATATTGCCGAAAGGCAACATTTTCATCCATATGATCCAGGTCTCACCGAGTTTGGCTCCTTTCTTCAGTAAGGTCAGCACCACTGAGGTGTTTCTGCAGCCGATGGCTCGATCCAGCGGCCTCATGCCACTGTAGTCCACATGCTCGATCACAGCCCCCTTCTCAACCAGATAATGAACCTGCAAACACACAACACACACGCCTCAAATCATCCGTGAGAATCCGTGGCCAGGATGCTGAAATTACAATGACAGGAAGTAGTAGTTTTATGACAAAATACACTACTGTTCAAAAGTTTGGAGTCCCTTTTTTTT